ATGCTGATTATATCAAAGTTCTATATATAATACACAGCCCTCAACAAGTAGAATATATTTTGGGAATGAGATTCAGTTAACTTATATATACACTGGTGTCCAAAAATTAAGGACAAGATTTTTTTTTCAATATAAATTTGTACAAAAGCTTTCCAAATCAACACCTTTAATACCGTAAGATCCCCAATACGTAAGGACATGAGTAATGTAAGCAACACTTACTAAAAGAGAAATCAGAGGGATAAAAAGAAGCTTTATTGAAAAAGTAGCATGGAGCGCAATGCGACTGAAGGCCGAAACATCCCTGTGATGGGTGTCCAGCAAGAAACATCCAGTCTTTAATAGGGGATATGATCTCCCATGACTGCTAGGCAGGTTTCACAGCGTCTGCCCATGCTGAGAATGAGGGTGTCAATGAGTTGTTGAGGCACTGCTACCCATTCGTCTTGCAGCGCCAATCGAAGTTCCGGAATCGTTACTGGTGGTAAGGTACGAGCTACCAAGCGTCTGCCTAGAACATCCCATACATGCTCGGAGATCGTTTCGGCCAATCCATACGTTCAATATCCTCACTTTCTAAGAGCTGTTCGCCAGCTACTGTGCAATGACATGGTGCATTGTCGTCCATGAAAAGGAACTGCGGACCCATAGCGCCTCTAAAAAGACGCACGTATGGAAGAAGAATCTCGTTACAATAACGGGTCCCGTTGACTGAACCTGCGTCGAAGATGTGAAGGTCTGTACGAGTACCAAGCATGATGCCTCCCCAAACGAGAACACCGCCACCTCCATACATGTCCCTTTGAATGATGTTCGAGGGATGATTGCGGCTTCCCCGCTCTCCCCAGATGAGTATGCGATGAGAATCGCTACTTGGACTGAATCTGCTCTCATCTGTAAAGAGTACTCGTCCCCATTCATTGTCTCTCCAATTCCGGTGTTCCCGGCACCACAGAGAACGCATTCTCCGATGGGCAGGGGTTAGAGGTACACACCGTACAGGGCGTCGTGCAAACAGACCACCACCGTGCAGTCTTCTGGCCACGGTAAAACGTGATATCGGTCGTCCAGTCGCCTGTGTCGTGTGTCTAGCGATTTCTCCCTTCTGTCTGCCGCCTGTTTCTTCTGGCCTGTAAGGATATATACCGGTCATCTGCAGGTGTGGTTCCTCATGGACGACCCCTACTAAACCCCCAGATAGCTGTTCCTGTAGTTTGAAATTGTCTCCAAAGTCGTGAAACGATGCTGTGAGCAATTCCGAACTCTGCAGCCACACTTGTCACACTGCGGCCTTCCTCCAACTCCCCAATGATCCGACCTCGGGTACAAGCATCCAGATGTCGTCTAACAGATTGATTATTCGCCATTTCTCGCTGAGGCAGCAACTTTGTGATTTTAACTGCTATACGGCGTGCAATCTCTTTGCCAGAAATACTGATCTTACACCGACAACATGCTTTATACTACTCAGACACTCCCCCATTACTTCTACCTGCATATCTGCGCATGTGCTACCGTACATCACCTTACTTAATCTCCTGATTGGTCTTTCTGTCCGCTCTGCCTCTTCGTTCAGCTGATATGCTAATTTTTCTACTTCATCCTTAATTTTTGCACACCAGTGTATATTGAAAGAAAAATATAGAATGAAAAAAAAAAAAAAATATTACATTTTAGGTACTGTTCTGTTATCAGGACTGGGTTCAGAAATGTATGTATGAATGTACATGTGTGTGTACATATACACACACATATATATATGCACATACATACACACAATCATAATTTCTGAATCTAGTCTTGATAACAGAACAGTACCATTTTTTTTTTTTTTTTTTTTAATTTCTGCTTCAGTATAATTAATAGTAAAATCAGTATAATTCTTTACATTAAATAGCATGTTAGGGTTATCCAAATCCCTAACATGCTATTTAATGTAAAGAATTTTACTGAACTTCTTTATTAACAGCTATCATTAATAGAATTGTAAATAAGTTTATTTAAAGATCTAATGAAGATTCGACCTGCTAAATTGCAGCTCACAAGTAAAAAGTTTGCTAATCTTACTCTAAATTTACTTAAAAAGGTCAAACAAACAGTAAGTTCACCTAATACTCATATCATAAGAAGCCAACAATCCAACTATCTTTCATAAACTTACTAAACATTATCAACTCTCAAAGCTACTGTCATTAAGCTGAGATGTGCCAATGGGGAACAAATGGAAGTTTTGTCACATTTAAAAACTAAAATACTAATTCATAAAATTAAATCACTTTATCAAAAATAATTTAGTGTTTGTTTAAGTTAAAAATTATACACATGTTAATAATGCATTTAATAAATATAATATAAATTACTGACATAATTTTAGAATTTTTAAAATTACAGGAAATTAAAAACTAAATGAAAAGGATTACATATATTTTTTGAATTGCAAATTATAATTTTTTTAAAATTAACTTAAGTACTTTTAATATTTCTGGATCTTTAGGGCAACTAGCTAGCCAAAATCTCACAAAGAGTACCACTCAAAATACACGAAATATTTGACTGCCATATTTTTAAAATTAGTTGCAAAAATAAGCTTTGAAACAATTTTGCTAACCTTTATACTGCCACCACATAAATTCGACAAGATAAGACTCCAAAACGCACCATTCCTCTTGTTTCTTCTTGTGCCTTCAAGAAATAAAGGTAATATATGCATTACACTTTTAAAAATATTACCTTTATTTCTTGATGACCTCTCAACTCTCTACATTGTATATGCACACTAGCTTTGTGATCTACAAACAGTTACATTATTACATTTTATCAAGATCATTTTTCGTACCTTTTCCAACAATCATTATACACATATTTATTGTTAGACAACATTGAACGTGACTGACAATATTTTACAAAAATATTCTGGCGTTTCCGTTAGGAACTTCATCTAGAAAATATTCAGGCATACACCTCTGATAATTTAGAACACATCCTTCCAGTGCTGGCCCACCAGCAGCCGAGTGGTAAAATTGCTGAACACTGGTAGTTTGAAGCCCCTCGAATGGACTGGCCGCATAGGCGTTTTCATGGTTTTCCCCATGTATACTGTATATATGAGCCAGTTTCCCTTAGAAAGTCCTTCACAAAGGCATCTCTCCTCTTAGGCAGATAGCCCTCTAGTTCTTTGCCATAATCAAATAAACCTTCTAGTGTTGTTTTTTTCAATCTTAAAAAGACTATTGTTGATTTTCATGATATTATTGGGTTCTACAATTTGGCCTATAGTATGTATGTATGCACGACTATATGTTTTGAGTAAACCTTAATAAAAAGTTATTTCAATCAACAGTTGAATTACTACATATATTTAGTTATTTCTCATACACTTGACTCGTTTCTTCCGCCCACCCAACAATAAAACAATACAATCAAAAAAGAAATTTTGGATTCATGAAACCAATTTCCAACATTGGATGCTCCTCTTTTTTAAGTATTTCTAACTGCACAGTGCCACATTCATTCATTATAAAGCTTCATTTCATGATTTTTATCATAAAGTCTAGTGCACGGTAGAATTTATTTATTTTATTTTATTTATTTTTTTTTTCTTGGAAGAACAGAACAGCATCTTTTTTTAGTACATAGCAAAGTGAAAATAATTAACATATTTACATATGACACTAGTAGATGAATTATCATGATAACAAATAACAGAATTCAAGAAGCTAACATGTAAGACAAGACATCGACGTGTGAAGAGTAAGGGTTGCCTTTTAGAGGCCATTAAATTTAATACTATAGTTGACTTATCACAGTTACCCCAAAGATCCATTAATAGCATATTTTCTCTTTAGTTTTTAAAAGTCATCATAACAGATAATTAATTTTAATTTAATGTTTAGTAAATTTACTGTATAAAGTGACTTTTAACATTAAAACCCAAAATATACCTTTATCATGCTAATTAAACATGCACAATTTCATTCTTTTAATCTGTGTGTCAGGGAAGCAGATTCAGATGCCCCATTGCTGATTCAAATGGAAAATGCAAACCCTGCTGTTGTATCGAAGATCTACGCAGAGAAGCTCAGAGCTATGCTGAGAAGACAGCTGACCAGTCAGCGAGCCCCCAATGCTTTCTCGAGGCAGGTCGAAAGATTTATGGAAGACCAAGACACATTTCTCGAGGCTGTGGCATGTGTAGTTTAGAAGATCTGCACTCGAGTGTTCAGACGAGACGATCACAATGTCTCGAAGTTCATCATTAAATACGAGACGAATGTAGGCCGTTGCGGCGAAGTCTACGCAGTATAACTAGAGGATTCTGACAGGACGTGCAGTTCTCGGAGGTGAATTATGTCGCATATCATTTATTGAAGCATCAGGACGTATCTAGCCGAATTTACGTGAATCAAGCAGTTTTAGCCTAAAAAATATGGTGAAAAAATTATTATAATGCTTCCGGAGTGTTATTAAAAATGGTAAAAGCACTGTTTTACAGTGACTTTTTATTTAGGTTATTTTAGATGTAAATAATTATAGGAGAATTTATTAGTAGGAAAAAAACAAAATAATACAAAATATTTAAAAGCCATCAGACTGAATTAAGAAAATCTCTACTCTCTGAATACTCATTTTTTCTTTCTTTCTTCCTTTTAAATCAGGTGCTTGATTCAAATTTAAAATTCATGAGAATATTCAGAAAATATAAAATATACGCTTTTTTGGAAAAGCACATGCATTTAGAGAGTTAGAAATTTTATCTCAGTTTAAAATTTAATTTTGAATCTGTTACATTTTGTTAGTTAGGGGAAATAAATCTATGATTTATAGATAAAATTTTTAACAGTGAGGTCAAAGACACTGTTAGCTAAAAAATAATTATTTGTATAAAAAAATGGAGTACATTTTCATATGCATATGGAGATAATCACATAAACATTTTGTGCTATTAAATTATCAGATTTTCAGAAAAAATTTAAATAAGCATTTTAAACTTTTGAATTTACCTTTTGCTCACACGTTTACAATCTCTTGCATAATGACCTCTTTCACCACAATCATAGCAGCGATCATCAGGATGGAATGGACGAGGCGGTGGACCTCTGAAAGAATTTCGTGTACGTCCAGTTGACAGCTCTACTCTCACTCTGCGGCCACATAATAATCTAAAAGAATTTGGAAACAATTTCAATTACTGATTAATTTACAGAAACAAAAATCACATTTACTGATAACTGAACTACTTATGTATTTTACATGAATAAAATCTCCACAGATGGCAAAATAATAATAATGCCAACATCAGATCAGTAATATGTGTAATAGGTATTTCACACATAATTTTGTGTCTAATATATTACCTACTAAAGAGAACACTCAGATTAAACAACACTTGACAACTTTTCTTCTAAACCTGGGATAGCAAAATAGCATCAAATTCCACATTTCGAAATTCTGCAATTCGAGGGTAGTGTCTGTGGTTTTTGTTTTTGTGAGTGAGTGGAGTTTTTTTTTTTTTTTTTTCTTGTCATGAATCATAATATGCCACTGTTAGGTTTATCTGCCAATGAAAAAGGATTGCATTTTTTTTCCTCAAAAATATGGCATTTTGCAAGTAGTAGAGCATGTAAGAATGAAGTTAATTTGTGAAATTCTCTAATTTTTTTAAAAGTTAAAACAGATTGATTTGAAGATTGGAGAGCAGTACCAATCTGCTCTGCTATTCTGAGGATTCTGCGATTTACTAATGATTTTTAAAGTTAAAATAGATTGCTGTGCACATAGATAGAAGGCATGGAATAAAGGAAGTGTACTGTTACAAATATTTGTTGCATTTTTAATTGTCAATTTGTTGCTGTTTTATGTAATTTTGAATGTTTTGTTATGGATATTTATTTTATGTAAATTTTAGTGTTTCATTATGGATGTCTCTTGCATTTTTAATTTCACTGATTCATTGCTGTTTCATGTAATTTTCAGTGCACTGCCATTTTTAAAAATGACTACCATTTTTTATGTGTAGGATTGGTGAAAAATTAGTCACTGACAACTGAGAACCTTGTGGTAGGGCTGAGCAGATAATGTGAGAGAACCCATTACTTTCTCTTTCACAGTTTCTTATATTAAATAAATATCAGACATAACAACTTCATATAACACATTCTAGTTATTTAGTCCAAAACTCAATTCATGATGAAAAAATTATTCAGTTATTGCAATCTTACAATGTATAAATAATCTACAAAACGGTATACCAATCAAAAAATTATGTGCCAAATTTAATAACGTCTCTATTTTCTCTCATGACTAGTTAAGCAATGATATTGAGATTAAGTGGGAGGAACAAACATGCATCCAGTATTCCCTCTCACCACCCAGTCTGTATTGATTATTCAGTTATTGCAATCTTACAATGCATAAATAATCTACAAAACAGTACGCTAATCAAAAATTATATGTCACATTTAATAACATCCGTATTTTCTCTCGACTGGTTAAGCAATGATATCATTGAGAATAAGTGGGAAGAACAAACATGCATCTGATATTCCCTCTCGCCACCCAACCTGTATTGATGAGCCCGGGTTTGAATCCCGGATTAGGCATATACATTTTTAAGCATGTTGTATTTGTACAGCTACGAGGCACCCTAAATACATGACAAATCAAAAGTCCTCTCGACAGGTGGGGAACCCTTGCACTGCGCAATGGGCATTCTCTCTCGAAACTGCGACCGAACTGCCCAACTAGTGTGGAGGGACAACACTTGTACAACCAATGATGAAATTCTGGTGTTCTGACCACTTCTACCTGTTACCTGGTACTCCCTCCCAATTTTCAGTTGCATTCTTGTTTTAAGAAAGGATCAATATGGATAATACAATTTGACAGTTACTAAATGACAAACAGGCATCATTAAATTTTTCCAAGACAGCCATAAAATTCATGCTGAAAGAATGCTTGAAAAACCACAAAATTAAATTTGGAATTTACTATAACTGAAACCTGAAATAGTTCAGCAACAGAAGACTGTACCACAAGATCAAAGATTCACAGAAAAAAACTGAAGAAGTTGGTTCAATTTTTATTTAGTTAATAAAACAGTCATTCTTTTCAGAAACCTGTATGTATCTTTAGGACTGACATTCCTACTTCCAGCCTAATTTCATGACAAAATTTAGTCTACCACCAAATGGCATCCCATTAACTGAAAAATAACAATAAAATTAGTATGCAGATAAAACAGCAAAGAGAAAGTTTAACAGCATAACCAAAAAACAAAAGTATAATGAAGTTCAGTCCACAATTTTTATACTATTCTATGAATAACATTTTGAAAACTAATATACTCACTTTCCATCAAGAGCTCTGACTGCATCCCTAGCATCCCGTGAATCTTCAAATTCAACAAATGCAAACCCAGGTGGGTTTCTAGCAACCCACACATTTCTTAAAGGGCCATAATAACTAAATGCATCTTCTATTTCATGTTTCGTTCCACTGTTTCCCAAATCTCCAACATATACTTTGCAATCTGGTGGGCAACCACTGTCTCTATATCTTGACATTATGCACTTCTGAAAACAAATTTTGCTAAATACATGTATAAAAAAAGGTATTTTTGCTCTATTAAATCTTCTAACTGAAAATGAAATTTTAAAACAATCACACGGTATCATGAAATTTACAAAGAAAAAAGAAATTACATAGTGAATTTCCTGTTCAAAGAACCTACTCCTGGTTAAATTATACAGATTAGTTCATGTTAATTTAAATGTAAATTTTATTATGTATATACTATGTAGCACATACTAGCAAACTGTTTATAAATATTACATAAGTTTACATATTCTTAAGCCCATTTTATATTCAATAAAAGTCTAATTTCTAAAAAGATTACTAAAGATATCAAAAGTAAAATAAGTCCTAGACTTAAGACTGTTCTGCTGGAATGGTACTCGTAAGCAAAATGACTACATGCACTTACAAAACAAATACTGTATTTCAACTGCAACAAAACTAATAAATTAGGCAACAAATATCCATCAAAGTATGTTGTGCTTTTGCACAGATCACATGATGGGAAACTAGATTTAGATTAAGAACTAACTAAAGTTAGTTATTTACATAAAAAAAGGAAGAAAACAGTATAACAGATTTCAAATAGTACTTTTTACTGACAAAATTTTCTTTGAAAAAAGAAAAGTCCTGTAAGCGATAAGAATAATACATTTCATATAATGATGGCCAATAAGCAGCCCTGATGCACATATTTTTGTAGATAATTATTTTGCTTCTGTTGTCGTATAATGAAAAATATCCATACCTTATTAAAATAGTCATGGGCAATCTGAAAAGAATAACTTCCTCGAAAATTTTCTAAATAAAAGTGCCTTGAATTCATGTTATGTATGGGGAAAATCATAAAGGCACCAAACTATTTGGTTCCCAAGACCCAAATACAGGACAAACTACCAATAATCAGTCTTATTCACTCAAAAACAGTAGACCAAAATTATTACTTGTGTATTATTAGTAGTATTAGAATAATAAAAATATTTACTGTATTAGAAATTTTTGTTTAATTATCCTCCTTTAAAAATCTTTGGTAAGGGGTGTGAATAATAAATGCTTTATTTAAATAAGACTTTTTTACAACTTAATGTTGTTAAAAAAAATGCTGGAAAAATTATGCCTTTTTCTCTCCCCCCCCCCAAAAAAAACACTCCAAGAGTATATCCCACTAAAAGTATTTAATTATTCATATTCTTATAATTAAATACATATAATTATAAATACAATGGCATAATTAATAATTGTTAAAATTATCAGTAATTTATTGTTGTTATGTTAATTTATTAAAGCGAGGTGTGCGTAATTCGTAGATTCGTTTGTTGCCTAGATTGTGCCATTTGTAGATTTTTTTTTTTAAGATAAAACATATCGCTGTGTACATTGATTCGTGTCAAATATTTTTGGTTAGAAACTTTACGTTTTTGCTATCTAAATTTTGTTTCGGATTTTTAGCTTAAATTGTGTGTTCAAAATGTGGTTTTTGCTTGCGCAAAACCCCCGTTTTTGGTGACATTTTAGGCTTAAAGTTTAAAATGTAGACAAAAAATTTAGATAGTAATATGGCAGGCATGGAGTTTCTCGCCAAAAATATTTGGCGACTTAAAGGCGCATATCAGAGTAGTTCCAGTCCTCTTTTTAAAGGTGGTAAAAGTATTCAACAATCCTGTAAGTCTATATTTTAGAGTGCTTCTTTCATTTATTGCCAAATTGTTGTTTCATTTATGGCAACACGAGTAGTTGAATGTTATGGAAACCCTATTATGACATGATTGGTTGCATGATTGCGGTAAATTTGACCAATAGGAAAATATTTTTAAGGGCTTATTTCTGATGTGGATGTCAGTTAGGAAGCATGTAACTTATTTTGTGCTATACACAGTAAAATGGCTATATGTGATGAGATTAATATGAAGTTTTTGTATGATTCGGAGTGAAAGAGGGAAAAAAGCATTTATTGACTGGTGTGTACATTTTCCTGACTTTTATTAAGTGAAAAAAGAAGGATGTGTACATGGACACTGAGTGCATACATTCTTTGACTTATTTTGATTTTGTGTAATGGCTATCTTGAAATCGTACCTTGCAGGCCGATTGCCAAGGGGCGCTCTGAAATATATTTTTACCCCAAAATCGTTTTTCATGTAATCGTTCTTCATGTTTAACTATCCCTAATGTTATAAAATGATGAAATTTACATAGAACAGTTGAAAATGCACTAAAATCCAGACCACATTCCAAGCTAACATAAACAAAACAAAGATTTATTCTATGAAAAATCAAACAAAACTAAAAAAATTAGGCGACTTCCTTATTACAACGGCACCTGAAATTTAAACGCTAATCAACTGAGATTTAACGTGTAGCGAGGTATAAGAACACATAGTGAGATGTCTTGGTTGATTAGCAATTCATTCTCGGGGGCCGCTATAATAAAAAAGTACCAAAATTAGTGATGTAAAAACTACACAGGATTTAGAAGAGCAGTTGCAATAAAAGATAATCCTGAAACTATTAGAAAGTCATTAGGGACCACGGATATGAATGCATGATCAGTAATAAGAAAACAATGAAAATAGATTTGACGTTCATAAAATCCATGGTAAGCAGACATTTATCACACTGAAACGTAATATTTGCAAACAGCTTAAAATTTAATATTTGGATTTGATTCACAAATTGCCAGAAGGCACATTAATGCTTTATGCATGCGCATTTGATTTTTCCTTCCATAATAAAACATGTGGAGATTATGCACTTCTTAAAAATTTCGATTCTTAATTTCACTTAGGCACTAAATAAAATACCTTGTCATGAAAAAACGATCCTGTAAGCATAAATTTGTAAGATGAATAATTAGGCTCCATAGCTGAGTATCTACTTGGCATACATCTCAAACTAAAACATTCACCTATTTTATATCCCGACTCCGACCTGGCGAATGATTATTTATTATATTTTGCTTTCATTCCCACATGTTTATCAATACATGACAGCTTCAGAAATAACTCATGCTGTGATGTCTAAACTTTTTTTATATTAGTAATTGAATAACAAGAGTTTGGCAACCTTTTATGCTAACATTACACTAAATGATATGTGGTAAAATCCTAGTATACGGTGCAGCCTTGGCGTGATTTTGAAAATTATTGCCAACACCAAAAATGACCCAAACAACGTCTATGCATATACTATACACTATATAGTATCACTATATACATGGTATATACTATGTTATAACGATATATATTCTTTGAATGACCCGTTTACTACTCATCGTATATGTCCCGTTTTTATTGCTCATCATAAAGTCGCCAAAAGCAGCCAAATCCCGTGTGCACCGGATACTAGGATTAAACCTGATATGTTATTCACCATAAACCCAGAAGTGGCGGCGGAATTTTGGGAAGCACCGAGCGACTAAATTAAAGGATAAGTTTTTATGATTTAGGGAAAGCACTGGGATCGAAAGTTTACGCGCGGTGAACATTTAGAACTTAGGAAAGCACTTTGTAGCAGAATTTAGGACCCGTTGAGACTGCACCAGACGGTATCGAGCACTGGCCCTAGATAAAGCCTTAAGTTTATGTGGGAGTTTATTTATTCAGGACTCGGATTAGTTTGAAGCATGCGCAAGAAATAAACGTAGGTACAGGAACTAACTAAATTAATACAATTCAGCACACAATAGGAGCAAGACAAAATTTAGCGAAACAACTTGGCTTTCATTGCCAATCTTGTGACACACAGCCAATAATGTATAACGGTTGCTATTAAGATAGGCTAAAATTATCTTTACTGATTCTAAGGCATTTCAATTAATGTAGCATACTGCGCTGCTCCCTGATCTTCTAATTTGATCTAGCTTATTATTTTTTTACAGACTTATTATTATGGCCATTTTATAAAAAACTAAGCTTGAACTTTCGATTATGTCGAAAAGAGTTTTCAATTCTGGAGTTGCCAAAGGAATGCGGGCCATAAAAAAGCGAAACCATGTTTCGAAGTCCATTAAACAAAAAGTGGAATTGCTGCAAAAAATGGCATTGGAAAGTCCACTGTATATGACACAAGACACAAGAAAAAGGAATTTTTTTTTGGAAGCATCTTAAACAATTTACATTGAAAGAAATGCTTAATAAGCTTTTTTTTTGTAAATTTTGATACCCTTTAGATCATAATTGTTCTTTATTTGATACATTACGATTTCATATTTTAATTGTATCATTTCTGCATGCCATTTTACCAGATTTAAATTGATGATCTATTATCTGGAAAAATCCCAATCCAGAATCGCCGAAGTCCCGATTTCGGACTTTGTATCTGGGATTGGAAATTTACTTTTTATAGAAAATAATATGAATCAGTACAATTATATAAATATTCTTAATGAAAGCCTGAAAGCATCTGCACGAAAACTTAAAATGTAAAATACCCTCAAGTTCTATTACAACAATAATCCTGAATATTCCTCTGTGGTTTATCATATGGCTATCTTAAGTTATCAAGACTCCCAGATATTCTTTGGACTTAAATCCTATCGAACATGTATGAAGTGAGTTGAAGAAAAGAATAATTAACTTAAACATGATATATCTTCAAAAGCTCTACTGAAAGAAAATTTTATGGAGGACTGGAACAAAATGAAGTATTCTGAATCATATTTGTTAAATCTTGATTGACTATCTAAGGAAGCACTGGATGTCCCACTCTTTCACACTTTTAATCAGATACAATTATTCAAACTGTCTGAATACTTACGAGTTAATTTAAGAATTTTATTCAATAAACTTTTTTTTCAAGCAAAACGTTTTGAAAATAAGCAGGTTTTAAACAAGATGACTGTGAAAGAAAAACAGTCATTTCGCCTGCATTTAGTAACTGATCAGTTGAGTGTAAATAAGTAGGTCTTAAAAAAGATGATCGTGAAAAGAAAAACAATGTCATTTCGCTTGCATTCAGTAAGTGATAAGTGATCAGTTGAGGGTGCCTGGGTTTGGCCCTAACCCAGAGTAGTAAGTAGATTTTCGGGAAAAGCTTTTACACAATCTGTCATTCCTATTCCTTCAAAAACCCACAGATTGCAAACTATAATCATTTTATTTATACAAATATGTAACCCTCTATCTCTTTTACATGAAAAAAATTACAACTTATACACAGCAATAAAAATTCAAATAAAATAAATGCAATATGGTACCGGCAATAGCGATACAATATATTCTTTTTAAATATCGTAGGGAGAAAACACACACAGGAAAAAACAGTAAATTATATAATGATGAATAAATTCCAAACAAATATACAGTATAATCACTTAAATCAAACAATTCTCAACGTTTTTTAGTACATACCCAATTGACAAGTTTAACTCAATTCAACAAAGAACGCTATAAGCGGCGTCGCTTTCGAAGAAATTCAAAAACGTTGAGGTGTTTTAAGACAGCTCCAGTTTTATGTCTTTCTTGATCACATGATGTGATCATATCTTCATTGGTTGTTAGTAGTATGACACAGCGCACATTTCCAAATACTGCTTGATCACCTGGCATTGAGGCTGCGAAGAAAACATTTATTTACTTTTACTCTATTTTTCGTATTCAGAATAGAGTCCTCTGCTCAGTGGCTAAAACTGCTAGGAACAAGTTCACTGTTGGCTGGAAATACTAAATAGAAAATTGTAGTATTAAGACACTTCAACTCTGTTTTATTACATGAAAGTGCTCCTCCTGCAGTTTATTTAACAGAACCTCAGAAACTTCTATTACCTTAGACGAATTACCTTACTATTAGAGATTACTATTACCTTAGACGTCTACTCTGTCTGTACAGACAGACAGACAAAGTAGACAGATGTTTTTGCATTATTTTATTCACCGTAACATACTATATAGTTACGATTAAGCATAACTGATACCAACATTAAATAAATTAACAATAAATTATCTTGAAAAATACAACGCATTATATTATAAATAAATAAATATGAAACATATTGCACATTATAGAGTATAATCTTTCTCTTCGAAAGTAAAGGAGAGGAGTCTGATATTTTAAATTCCTACTCTGCATTTCACATTTTTTTTATACCAATAAAATAATATGTTGTTCAGTGCTGAATGAATTATTTAACAATAGGAGAGGGTCAATGGTTGTGAAATCACATCATAATAATAAGAGAATTTATAAAAAATGAAATAAGGGGTTTTATTTAAATTTTATTATTTAGTTAAGAATAATTATCCTACTAACTTTAATTCATATATTCAACTCTGAAACACACTTTCTACAACTTATCTTTGGCTACTATAGTCTGTGTAGTCAGCTTGACAGATACAGTCAGCAAATGATGATTGACAGTCATAATTGTTATCTTGTCGTCCTGGTACCATGGTGCAGTACACGTACATGTTTTCCTACAACTTGCATGATTGCATACATACTTTTTCACAGCAGAAATATACAATTTAGAAGAACTAATTTGCAATAATATATAGCATACATGAATGAAAACAATCCAAGCATACTTTATATTAAAGTGCAATTTTATGTAATCATTGATGAAAATTACATACATCAAAATATACATTATTGTTTGACTTTACTATTACTTTAGGATTATTAAAAATCATCATCATCAATTCCTACATGCTGTACAATCATCTGCCTTTTAAAAATAGAACTTGTTACATTTAATATTTTCAATCAGGTTTCTTCTATTCAATAGATATTTGATAATATAAGGAGTTAAGTAAATTTGAACTAATTATTTTATTTTTACCAATTCTTTACAGTTATACCACCACAATTCATTACATTATTTTATATTAACTTCAAAACATTTCAGCACATTTTGAGATAAAAGACTCAAGTACCTTGCATCAGTTTTAGCTGTAATAAAATTACGCTAATAACTTTCTTCTTAAAGTTTCTCGAAAATGATGTTTCTTTTCGAAAAAATTAAAACAGTAAGGAACAAATTTCTTAAAACATCTTTCTTAATGATACATTATATAGAAATTTAGGAAATGTTAAAAATGTTAATGAACTGTATGTGTGTTAAAATACAATATATCACATATTGCACATAACATATCAAATTTACTGAAATGGGAAAATATATACATACCTGAAAGCAATCTTCGCAATAGCATTTGGTTGGGAAGCTCTTGCGCTATCCACTGGGAGCATCTGCATTTAAGCTGACTTCCTTTACCCATTTTTTGTGCACTCTTCAGTCGAATTTATATTTGATCGTATCATTCAACTTTCCAGTTGTTGGAGCAGTACAGAAAAAATCTAATTTTACACAGTAATTACTTTACATTGCACATATATTCTACGAAGACTTAAATGCCAGATTTGTTTACAATCAGATGGCGATACATTCTACCACATACCGTATTTATCCTCTTTTCAAATCGCGCCAACATAATAATTACGCCAAATTTGTTTCTGGGCATGCGCAGTATGCGACATTCGTTTAACACTGTTCAACTCAATGTGCGGTTTGCCATTACGCTTACAGATTTGAGTCTTTATCGCTCAACGTTCATAGCGCCATCTGTTATTAAAAATCGACATGAGAAAGGGGTATTAAACGCTCTTAATTCTGTCTTATAAAATACTGGGAAGGCAAGACTAGAGAGCAATGGCTGAAAAGCCGAAAGTCAGGAATTCGTATATTAAAAAATTAATATATTTTAAATTTATTCCTCCAAAGCCAGTAAGAAATGAAGAAATACAGTTCACGCACTATTCAATACAATACACTGCTTCTAAAGGTAGTTGTAATAAGAGCATTTTATTTCTCAGAAAATAGTGATAGTGAACAATTGTAGAGTGTCTATTTGTAGCTTTTGGGATTTCTTTTGAGAATGGTATGAATTAAAAGACAGAAGAGCTGCCATAATATAATATTAATGAAAATTAGTAAATGTGCAAGAAGCAAGAGTGGAAACAAGTTTAAAAACAAGTGTGGGTACTGAAACAAATAAAATATTCCCAGTTTACTAATGGCCGAAATTTCTACTAATATATTTAAGCTTGGGCTTCAACTACGAGTGTGATCAAGGCCAACTAGCTATGCTAGTAGATATCTATTTGGCCTTGGTCTGACGATCTCCTAAAATCTGCAATCATCCTCCTTATTTACCTACATTGTTATATATAGGAGCGTGCTAAAAATAGTGTTTCAGCTGTGTTACCAATTATTGTAATTTCTGTTTTGTTTAACTACTTAAGGACAATCTCTTTTTCTCTACAGCGCTGACTTAATATGGAGGCATGACTATAAATGATGAAAAATATAAAACGGAAGCTTCAAGAATGCACATCCAGCCTAAAGAACAACCAACAAGCTCAAAGGACGAAAATTATATAGAAAAAATATAGAACAAATGAAGTGTTTAAGAATTTTTTGACATTATTAGCATATATTTTCCCTTTTCTTGTGCATTTCGATTAATGCATCTCCACTAGAATGATTGTGCATTGACGCTTGCAGGTTCAATCGATGATAATGATGCATCTGGAGATGTGAGTGCCGCTCTGACGATTGCTCTATCTTCACGTTCTGTCGTTTCTTGAAATGTCTTGTTGGCTCTTTTGCGCAGCATTTTTAGAAATGTTCTCCCTTGGTCTCCATTTCCAAGTGCTTCTTCGTGAGATTACTCAATGGTCTTGAGATCTCTTCAAAATTAGGAATACCATCGATACCAGCTGCAAGGAGGAGGGACACTCTGAACTTGCTTCACATTCTTTGGTGAAGGAATTTGTTAAATGACTTTTACTTTTTCAGGGTCTACTTCAATTGCAGATCTTGTGATATATGAGTCTTCGAGATGCTTCTCAAAAGTAGAAGACATCACAATAATAGCGTCGCGATAAGTAAGAGTGTTGACCTTTATCCCATTCCGGAAAATATCCATTAGTCTTTGGAAAGTGGCTGGTGCCGTCTCCAATCCAAAAGGCATCCTTGTGAATTTATAGGTTCCAAACTGACATGCAAAGGCAGTTTCGTCTTTGTCTGGAAGGTATACCTTAACTTGGTGATACCCTGATTTTAAATCTATGGTAGACATGTATCTGGTTTGCTTTGCAGTATGAAGAAGTTCATCAGAGGGCTTGGATCAGACTTATATACAGAATTCAGTTTCCTATAGTCAATACATAATAGAAAGTCATCGTTCGGCTTGGGAACTAAAACAGCGGGTGCTGCATATGGTGAACCGCACTCTTCGATTATGCCTGATGCAAGAAGTGCACCGATTTCTTTCCTCAAAATCTCCTTTCTTGCTGGAGATAGTCTGTAAGGGGTTGTAACCATTGGACGTGAGTTACCTGTATCAATTCGGTGCTCGATATGAGGAGTTGGTTCTCCCTGCGGAGAGAGCGTAGTTTCGTATTTTTCTAATAAGGCATTCAATCGTTTTCGCTGCTCTTCAGTTAGATTTTCACCTTCGTATGGACGTAGTAGGCAAGGATTTATTAACATGTCACAGGATTGGACTTAAACTCTTTCAGCAAATGGAAAGTATTTATTTGGATTGTCACCAAAAAAACCACTTTTGCTCACGAATATTTAGAACTACTCAAGCTTCTTTAGGAAGTTTTCTCCAAGCAGTGTTCGATTACCTGTAGCATCAGGAAGAGCTGTCAGTTTTATCGTTTTCCTGTATGTTGTTGTTAGGTGTTATTAAAACGTCATTTAAAATTAATTCCTAATTGATTGATTGATTTTCTAAGCCTAAACTACAATATAATTTTTCATAATATTTACTGAACTGATCATATTTAATTTGTGGTTCTCTAGGTTTCTTTGGTTTCGAAAATATAGGAAAAGGAAATATCTAAAAGGAAATATTTCTTTAAACTCTTTTCTTTGAATTTGATCAAATCAGCTTTAAATAAACATCGTTAAAAAACAACATTATGTTGCTTACACTAATCATGAATAGCTCTACGGTTTTTAATTTTAATGTTTCTTAAAAGGAAACTGTTTTATTTTGAATTTTATGATTAGTGAAATCAGCTTTTTAAAGCAGCTTTTTAAAGCTTTGAATAACTATATATGTCATTTTCTCTACAATAAGAACGGAGTTGTTTCACTGTCTTCTTTTCTATCTCTATTTATAAAGTAATATTTTTAAGAAGGTATTTTTCTTAGATGTTAATTGCTTCAACAATGTCTTTGTTCGTGTGCATAAGTATATTTTTTTCCACATTCACAAATGTGATTTGTAAAATTCCCTTCATCCCTTTTTTCTGCATATTCTTACAAGATTATCTGAAAATTTTTAGAGATCTCGTGATTTATTGAAATTGGTACGTCACATCATCACCAGCTTTGAACTGTAATAAAGTGAACAAATTCAGATGTTAATCTCTAATGTATACAAACAGCAAGAATTTAATGTGTAGAAATTGACAATGAATGACTCAGTTGGCACAAACTTAGACATTTTTTATGAAAAAAGTGTAAAACATATTTTTGCATGTAAA